TGTTAGTTTTCTCATGCAACACGCTTACTGTCGAGTCGACATGGATAACTTTAGAACAATGATCAACGAAATAGAAAAGCGTATATATTTATTTCACGAGTACAAAATATTTCTTACTGTTTTCACTGTCTTCTTTCCAGTCATGTTTGGCCTAACTGTTGCAAAAGCTTCTCGATATGTGCAATTACGTCACTATCTCATAATCAGACGTCTAATATGCTCATTTTCTGCGTATCAGTATTAGCTGTAAGCACCTAAATAGTCTCAGACAAAAATACATTTTCGGATTCTTCCTGAGCCTAGCTGTGATGGAAGAGATTACATGCTGTTGCAATGCACAAAGTTTCGTTGTTATGAGAATAATATTACGAATCGCTATACTTCACTCGAATAAGATAAGAATCCAGTGTCCAGTACAATGGAATATCAAATAATATGTACTACTCACCGAACCTTAATAGAATATTGGGTAATCAAAAGCTACCAGAATCTCTACTGCACTATTTTTCACACAATGACTTTTTTTCTTGCTTTAACTCGTGCACAGTTTTCTTAGTTAATCTCCAAACTAGATAGTAGTGCTTTTCTTCAATTTCTGTCTACACAATGGAAAAAACGGTAAACTAATGAATGGAAATTTCTTTCTTGATACTTCTGGACGACATATAAGTTTCTTTTAACAGCTTTAAACAGTTACAAAATGCGTTCAAATACCTCTGTTCTGTTCTCATTCTTTAGACATTTCTTTGTGCAATTTGTGTTCTCTTTTTTATGGCTGAGAATATTTACAGGTTTGAACTGTACAAACGAAAAACAACCGCACGAGAATGGTCTGAACGTCTGAATGTCTAGTACTCAAGACTGGGATAAAGACCGATGAATCAAAAAGAGTAGAATTGCTGATAACTCGATAAAAAAAGATATCAGAAGGTAGAATTTTTGATAAAAGTCATGTTCCAACGATTTGATAGCTTGTTTCATACAACATACATACGACTGCGAGAAACATTCAGAGCGGACGATAAGACAGCTGAAGAAATGGACAAACACATAGTAGAAGATGGTTTAGAACATGACACATTATACTGATCTGTGATAGAATGAAGCAGTTTTAATGTAGTACACTATCGCACTCTGCGGGGATAAAATTAGGGACGCCGCTATAATTCAAGAACTATGATAGCCAATGACTTCTAATTTGTATAGCATATATCTCACTGAAAGCTGATCAGCCAACAAGTTTGATCCTCTTTGACTGAATAGTTCGGCGGATATAAGCGTTTCAGTTTTTTTTCCTAAAATGCTTGTAACTCTTGACCCAAACGAAATAAGAAATTTTCTTGTTTATCAAGTGTAGTCCTAACTCTATTCTGTCCATGGCATGACTTTCGTTTGTTGGCTCCTAATGTTCACTGAAATATAGAAGTGTCACTTTTGAGATATGAGAAAAAAATCCATAACTGGGTCTCGGAATATTTTTTCACTTCAAAATTGCATAAAATACTGTACAGTATTTGTAGAGCCCTAGATCAATTTTTACGATTCTGGTTCGCTTTATCAAATTCCTATGTACGGTTCGGCCACGTTTGTGGTAATTATTCCGTAGGAGAATTATAAGAATTTGATAATGGTTGGAAAGAGTTGGACGACTCTAGTTCTTATACTTGCAAACCAGAACTGGGCAAGTCAAGTCATTTCTGACTTGACTTGACCTTGGAAATTTTTTTAAAAGACTTGACTTGTGACTTGACATGAAAAATCAAGTCAAATCATAAGGTGCCCGAAATTCAAAAGTACCGTGACAAAAACGAATCTAGTCGAATTATACATGGTTGGATAGAGCTCGCTTTTTTTTACATAGTACTAATATCTTACATATTTTTAAACCTCTTATGCAATCTAATTTTTGAATAATAATTCATAACGATTTGGAAATATTGATGTTATAATATATAAGAACAACTTCTTTTCAGTTTTATCCTGATATGATATAATGATGTTTGCTTATTTTATTCTTTCTTAGCTAAGTGCTTGTGTTACGTGTATACCATTTACTGTGATTTGTTTTTGAACTATGTCAGGCTCATTAGAGCATTGTCTTTTTTTATGATTATCTTTTGAAATACGAAAATGAAACATCGTATCTAAACAAAAAGTCGAAACTCATAGAAAACCTGTAATTTGTCCAGTTCCGCTGTGAGCATTTTTCTACGAAAAAAGAAATTTCAAGTCATGACTTGTGATTTGCCTAGCTCTGTCGCAAACATATTAATTTATCTCTTATGACTCAAGAAGTTCCCAGTCAGTCATCTATATGTTTTGAAAATTCGTTTTAACGCGGTTTTAGTGTTCATAGAGCGCGAGAATATACAGTTTCACTATGAATATGGCGAATTTCTAAAACTTTAAATATACGCCTTAGTCAAAACCGCATATTTGCCATCAATAATTCGCGAGAAACGCGTTTATGCCCATCATAACTTTTTAAAAACGCGTTTTCACTCGCAATAGACTTCATGACTCGTGAACGGCACCGAATTTTTTGTGTTTAGGGACTCAATTGAAACGAATTTAATGCGTTTTGGCTAGAAATTAAATTTGAAAAACGCGTTTCAATTTTTCAAAATTTATAAGATATTTTCTTGGACACGTAAAACTCGTTTCGTAGACTGAAGTCGCGAAATTAGGTATTTCTATAACAACTAATGAGTGAAAAACGCGTTTTTAACTCAATGCAACGCGACAAACTAGAGATTGGGTCAAGAACCGCGAAAAAACGAATTTTCTAAAAAAGAGCGCGAGTTTAGCTTCAAAGTAGCGCACGAAACTCTATTTATGAAAAATTTAGCGCGTTTAACGCGTTTATGATTACGTCAAACGTGATTCTCACACTTTTTTTTCAAAAGAATTTCTCGCGGTAAATTTTTCGCAAACAGAGTTTTGTGCGATCTTTTGAAGCTAAACTCGCGTTTTCTCGAGCTTTTTTAAGATGACTATGACTGATTGAGTACTTATTTCGGGGCAGAGACATTTTCAAGAATTTCTGAGACTGCCATTTGATTTCTCGCAAAAAGTTGCTTCGAAAAACTTAGCCTTTAACTATATTAGATATACTATGGGGACTTTGGATTTTTTCTATATAAATTTTGACTATACCATCAATGCAACGCGACAAACGCGAGATTGACTCAACTACCGCGAAAAACGAATTTTCTAAAAAATCGCAAGTTTAGCTTCAATGTATCGCGCGAAACTCTGTTTACGTAAAATTTAGCGCGTTTAACGCAACCTATGATTACCTCAAACGCGATCCCAGTGCTTTTTTTTAAATGAATTTCTCGCGGTAAATTTTTCATAAACAGAGTTTCGCGCGATATTTTGAAGCTAAAACCGCGTTAAAAGGAATTTTTAACACGTATAGGTGACTGATTGGGTTTATACTGTCAATACGTAAAAAGAATTCTCTTTAGTTGTTCAAAAAAATATTGTCCAAATCAATGTTCAATTTTGAAATGGAAACAGTCAATACATCATATTTATGTAAGAGAGATGTTGTCATCGGATCAGCACATCAGAAATTGATTGAGAATAAAAACAGCAACAAAAGTTAAAACAACACATGGCAAAGATACAATCGTAGATTAGAAGAAATAGGTAAGCTCTGGATAAGTGAATTATAAAAATTGTATACGATATTTATAGGACTCGTATAAGAATCTTGTCAAGACAATTATGGATTACTTATGAAGTTCTTACAAAGTAATTATGAAATTCTTATGAATCTCGTGCGGAATAATTATCATAAGCGTAGCCAAACCGTATGTAAGAATTTGGTCATACTGTTATCAGACTCGGATAAAAATATTTTGTAGTTCATTATCCAAATTATTGCTGTCTTATAAACATATGCGTGACAGACAGAACGAAGCACTTCGTGTTAAAAACGGGAACTGGAATAATATTATTTTTTTGAATGAATCCGATCTGTTAAAAATACTGCTTGCAAGATCGGTTTACTGCATAGTCAAGTATGAATCAAAAGTCAATGTTTGGGGGTGTTTTGCAAGAACTGGTTTGAGCCGATTGCTTATTTCAGACAGATGGATCTTTCTTTTAACAGTTTCTTTTAATTTAATCAAGTTTGAGAGACGTTTTATCTTCTTTCAGTGGCTCTTGCTCGTCGAAAGAGTTATTATATATTTGTGTAATATATCTGTGCCAATCACACCTTGAGCATAACTAACTCATTGTTAGCATTATTTTAAGTTCATCAGGCATTCTAGCAAAAGTCACATGAAATCGATCATTACTCAGCCGTGCTGGCATAGAGTATATATTTCTTGTAAATTTTCCTATTGTAAGATAAAAATCTTCTTTTGTGCCGATTTGTTCGTCGTTGCTAGAAAGCTTTACCCGAATTTTCGCGTTTTGATCGGTGCGGGTCGATAGAAAAAAACTGTTTAAAGTATTACGTGAAAGTTTGAGGTCTCCTCGACATCTTTTGAAGGGTTTATCGAGCTTTACTATTGTATGGTTTCTGATGAATAATATGATTTCAAGAAAAATTTCCCTGTTGTTTTTTCTTTAACCTCCAAAGAAAAACAAACGTTGACACGATATTCAGCGTAGTCGATGACACATGTCGTGGTATGTTTTGAGGTTACCAGAACGAATGAGAGCTGCTTATACCGTATAGCATCAAATGTCCTTTTTCAAGCAGGCGTCAAGCGAGCTCTTGGTTTACAACGTCCTTAATTTTTGGTCAAAATAGCGCAAAAGATACCTTTAATCTCATTTCGAAGTAATTGCAACACATTTATGGTAGAAGCATTATCATAATTTTAACTTCTTTATGTTCGTCCTTCACACTCTTGACACATTGTGTGTTACCTGTTATCTGTGTTGCTAAAACACAATTCATCGTATATATATATGATGCATTTGCTTTCTTTTCATTCATTTTCTGCAACAACGCCTTTAATCAACAAATAACGTTCAACATGACTCTGATTTCATTAATTTTGATTATTCTTGCGACTGCTACAAGCCATGCAGCGAATTGGGCCGGTAAATGGGACATTGACTCTGGATGTGACACAGGAATATGTTGTTGTTTTTATCGTCAAGTGATTATATCAGCTGAGGGTCTGTTTCAAACCCATCTAGAAGGTCACAACTGTCCACCCACTCCGAATAACGCGTCAGATTACTCTAGCGTCTACCAGTTTAAAGTACAGATGGAGAACACAACATTTCAGCAGGTCATTTTCGATTACACAGTGGTTGAATTTGTTTTGGATACCCAAGACACCATCAGAACACAAAATTTGAACAACTCAAAATGCGATGTGAATTACACGCGAAATGATGTCGCGAAACCCAACTGGATCGGATTGTGGGACGTCAAACCAGGATGTAATGAAGACGAATGTTGCTGCTTTGTTAATCAAGCTAGTGTGAGCTCGAATCCTCACGGTCTCACGATTGACACTGATGTTCGAGGAGCACCATGTCAAGAGCAACTAAATGCAAGTCACGTCAAATTCGATATTCCCAGCCAACCAGAATTTGTCAATGAATTGATAATACTTGGCTCATGGAATCGATTTGCTCAATCAGTAGATCAAAACACGATTTATCAAAAGAATTTACAGTATCCACGATGTAGTGCTGGTGCGATACGCGTTACTCCGGCAACGAACGCTAGCACCGCTGAGCCAGGCACCACCGCAAAACACTCGAGTAGTCTGAGTATCTATGAAACAAACACTGCTGTTTTCGCGATTAGCCTTGTTTTAAGCAAATTTTTCTAATGAAAAAATAAAATTACAATAAGATCAACGTGATCTTTAACTGAAAAGGCTGATATGCACTGTATACAATTTTTATTTAGATGCTTTTATTATTATTTGTTTTTGAGACCAAATAAAACTTAGAGAAAGCGAAACTGTATCGTTGACTTTAAAACTTAGGACAAAAAGCGTGAGTTGCCACCTACCAGTGCTATGAGATTCATTAGGCAAAAGTAGACTGCTTTGCAAACAATGGTTCTGTAACATCTGCTGACCAAAACCAGCTCAGTTAGTTCTGTTTTACCCAATGTTGAGAAGAATTTAAGTAAAAGAACTTTTAGAATCGTTCTCGAGTTATTCAAAAACCGTCTATGGCAGCTCTATACAGAAATCCATAGTAGAAGCTCCGTTTACTTAAAACGAAGTATAAATAACTGCTTATCGGTAACATTTTGAAAAGGCAAATACAGGGATTTGTAGCGTTTGCAAATCTCTCTGGAGTGACTTATTACTTTACCGTTTCCACTAAAGTGTCAATTTGCAAGTAAGAGTAAAAAGGCACCAGAATGATATTAATTAGTATTCATTATCATTGATTAGTTATAAATTATTGTGTTTATAAAACTTTTTTCATCACACCATAACAACAGACATTGGCTATCAAGCAATGCATAAATGACTTTTCTACGATTATTTTTGACGTAGCTAAGGTGCAGCTAACGGGTTATGCATAAGTTTTGCAACACATATCGAGCGCTGTTTCTCTATGCTCCTACTATTCCGGAGCTTGCACTTTCTTTTTGTTTGAAAGGGTAAAGTTTGAACTACAAAACGCGTATCAAATAAAATATCGCTCGCAAAGCCTCATTGAAAAAAATTTAAAAGCTAAATATCACTAAAAATGTAGTTCTCTCTATCTTCTTTGGAGCGGTTCTTTCTGATTTAAGGATAAGCTTGAAAGATGACTGATTATTACATCTGAGAGTATTTGAAACGCTCTTTCGAATGGTGTGCAATACATTTTCCTTTTATTCAGTTTCTGTGAAGAAATAATCGTTTAATTGAGGACCGTTAGAAAATCAGTTTATTAGCGTTAACGGCCAATTCTTCAATTAACAGATGAACTTTTTTCCAGTTTTTGAACTGTAAAATGATCTTTATTCAATTTTCTACAATCTGATGTAAAACAAAAGCTAATCTCATTTACTTTGCATTTTATCTGACGCTTTTGCTGAAGTCCCCAATTGTTACACGCAAAATCTCTATTTTCAGAAAAACTGACTTTTAGAAAGCGTTTCAGAAAACCACAAAAAAGTAACTTGAAAAGTCTTAAGGAGATCAGATCCATAGAATTTTTCACGGGCTATTTTTTCGTGTATTTGGTTTCAGCAAAAAGTTATTATTTTTGACATCAGCGAAAAACGTTTTTTGATATGCTTTAGTAAAATTTAACCGGACTATTTTTAGTGATGTATGGTTTTTGAATTGTTTCGCAATGAAGTTTGTTGAGAGAAAATTTTATTTGATATAGTTTTTGTAGTTTAGACTTTGCTCTTTCAAACAAAAAGAAAGCATAGTCTGTAGAACAATAGGAGCATAGAGAAACAGCGCTCAACATTTATTGCAAAACTTATGCATAACCCGTTAATCCAAAATTCGAGTGGAGTTTATTTTTCGATTTATCATACATATTTTGATTCGTCTTGTCGAGCTGATCACGAATATCACATTTTTAACCTTTAAAAGTACTTTTTAAGGTACTGTGAGGGTCGAAAAAATGAAAGAATACCGTGAGGGTCCCAAAAAACGGAAAAAATGACTTCTATCGTAGAACTGACTTTTTTGAAGTTTTATTGCAAGATGGAAGGTTTAAACTAATTTTTTCTGAATCAGCGACTGATTGGGAAAAAGGTGTTTAGTTCATTTAAAAGGTAAACACTCGTCCGCCATGGGCGTCCTAACCGACGGGTGTCAAATGAGGTATGATCATTTTTTTTGATTCACCTTTGATTCACAGATGGTTAGATCGGCCATCAAACGAGCTTTAAAAATATGCGTGGCTTTTTTTAACATTTTGTTTCGTCGCTGACAAAATTCAGTTTTTCTAAATATGAGGCGAAAAGTCGGATTTCTGGAATCAAGATGAAAAACTGGTTCGATTGACGTGTATTTCTATCCTATCCGACTACTTTGGTTTTTTTCGGATTTTCGATTAAAATTTCGGTAATTTTTCAATGTTGTTCAGGTGTCCTCTTCAAGTAAAACAAAAAACTTTTTTAAACAGAGGAAGATTTTGAAAGTTTCATTTCTATTACACGAACATAGCCAGTATATTTTTCTTATTGTTCGGCAAACGCGTTGTCGGCTACACAAGTTCAACACGTTGAATGTATTATTCACTTCAATCGTTCTCTTTCTATACTGCAGATCTAATTTTCTTCTTTATTTTCTCTATGCTTTTATTTTGTCCACAAATAATATTCCATGATGTAACGTAGTAATGTTATTTAATAACAAAACAAAAAACAACAATTTTTTTTTTCACCGATGACTCTGTATGTTAGTTTCGGGATATATGTTGATGTTTGAATAGAACGGATAGAAAAAAATGGGATGTCGAAGAGAGAAAAATAAGAAAAAAGGCAAATGGATTGAATCCATGATGTGAATGGTAATAAAAAAACACACTGTAAAACGTGTTTATGTATTAATTTTGATACAGTTAAGTAGCCTTTTCAATTTAAAAAAGAATGGCCCTCTTATTCGTCAAAGTATTGTTTTTATGTTCCTATGTGTTTACAAATGTTGAATTACGAAGAATAGATGAAAGTAGTGAAGATTTTACTAGCGAAGAGGACAATGACAACAATAATCGACGGTTCAACGATCTTGTTTCTCGAGTATGTTAACTGTAAAGAAGATGTTACAAATGTAAAACAGAAACTATGTCGTCTCAGTGACAGCTAGGCATGCAACAGTTTTTTTTCGTGTTTTTCAAAAAATGGCTTGTATTTTCGCAACAACGCACTGTGAAATTTCTGAAATCAGCAGTTTTGTAGAGCAAACATTTCTCTAGAAGATGGCATATAGTAGATATTTTTGAAGTTGCTTAGTTTCTTTAAAAAGCGGTTTTGATACAATAACCCAGCAGTTTAAAACAGCAGTTTTAATCGCAGTTTTAACTGCTGGATCATTCTATCAAAACCGCTTTTTAAAGAAACTAAGCAACTTCAAAAATATCTACTATATGCCATCTTCTAGAGAAATGTTTGCTCTACAAAACTGCTGATTTCAGAAAT